ATAATACTCCCTCGTCCGGAAATGAACCATTCAAGTTCGGTTAGAAAAATTTAAAAGTTCGCACAGAAGGCTAGCACCCCGAAGCCAATGGTTTGGCAGTGTACTGCAGCTTTAACATTAAATTCGACATCTATATGATCAACGTTCCTGTTATTCTCTGCTAGTTTTGCATTTGCTTCCATTAGCGACGACCTAAGAGGCTTGAATTAGTGGTGCACCAATTTAAAGAAAACAATTCCTCATTCCTCAACAACAATTTTCACAAAGTTGATTCCTCCGTGTTTATGTCTGACACCAATGGAAGTTCTTAACGGATTCTGTTGTTTTATCCATTGGTTAACTTTGAAGTAGCTCAGAAAGCCACATTCCGATATGAAGGCAAAACCTTTATCCCGTAGTGAAAATGGAATTGCTTCCTTTCTCGCTAGTGTGTGAATAACAGTCAAACTGCATAGTTCAGGTTTAATCAGATTATACGTCAAAATACATAATCAAAGTGTCCAAAAGTCAGTTCGGGAGGTAGGCAAACGTGAGGATGCTGAATAAAGTGATTGTCCATTGGAACCTCAAGTTGAGCGAACTGCTGGGTTCTTGGTTTCTCGAGCTGCGGTCCTTGGTCTTGGAACATTGATTGTCCACGCAGTAGTCGGTCGAAGCACACTGACTGCAACTCTTGCCGCTCACATAGGGCTTCATCCCAACCATATTTCCTCTGGAAATAAATTAAGAGCGCGTCATAGTTTGAGATGTATGTTGTTGTTTTATCTAATTTCCGAGAATAAATTGCAAGTCCTGCGACAAAACGCAGCCACAAGTACTTATTGTCTAAAAAAACATTAACAACGCTCGAAATTGCATGATCCTAAGGATGATGTTGCTAAAATAATTTTGTCGCAAGTGTTGCTTCCAATGAATACGCATGAAATGTCAACTGAATACGCAAATATGCATTTTTCAAACAAATATTTAGTACATAGTGTTTTAGTACTAAGATATTTATAACACGACAGGAGACCGGTTTTGGACGTGCCTTTTTCCGTCGGCTACAAGAACCAGAGTCTGTTAAACAACGTCATTTCCATATGATGAGAACTTCCTATTACTTTTCGAAGTCCATATAAAGTCACCTCTATTCTAAAGAAGACATGTACGACTACATTTTAACTTGCACTGCTTGGGTCCCAGATTACGTCTTCGTCAAATGCAAAACTTGAATAGTGGATACATTTTGCGGCGACCATTGGCAGATGAATATGAAATCAGTTAAGACGTCATTGAATTCAACGCAGTGGAGTAGTTATCCAGCTGGACAGGTGTCTTGTCTCTCCTTATGCGTATATATTTTACGGTCCTAAAAACACTGATACGCTTGAAGCTATCACGGGGCGCCAAAAGCTATGGCTTGGAGGGTTGCCAACTGACGAGATAACTTGGAGGCCGCAGTCGGCCCAGCGTGTTTTCTTGTGTGGAGTGGCTTACTGCGGGCTGAGAGTCGAGTTTAATGACTCCCTCTTAATGTGGATTTAATGGCGAACCCAGGCGGGAGCCTACCTAGCAAGGTGGTGATTTTGTACCGCGTGTTCGAATGTGTTTCGCGAACACCGCTCGTGCCCTCCCTCATGTCCCGACTTCTTGACTTTGTGTAAGCAAAGAGTTCAGGTATGGGAGTGGTCAGAGAGTGGAATAGACCCAACAGGTCTACTTCCATTGTAATCCAGCTATAGTCACCGTGTTGCTTCTGTTTGCTGAGAGCGGCGGTCAAACTGTCGTATATATGTGTTTGTAATTGGCTATTCTAAGTCAATATTTGCAGTTGCTATGCGTGTCTAAACATTTTCCCTTTTTCCATGAGAATGTTCATTTTCCTATGTTCTTTTAGTACCAAAATATTTCTGCGAAGTGTCGAAGATGTTCGTCGAAACTATGCAATACCACACAGATTGTGGATACTGGCTTTGAATGTAACAACTACTATGACACCTGCAATATTTTAAATGTGCTGATCTGGGCATTGGGTCAAAATTAGCATGCATACAGGAGTTACTTAACTCATAAAAAAGAATAGCAGTAGAGCAAATTGACAGTGAACCTACGGAGGTTTGTATTGACAAGCAACCAGCACTCCGATCGGACAAGATTGGTAAGCGCAACCCACAGCGGTTGTTTCTGCCCAGATAACCTGACAAAAATGTAAATTTGAGTTTATCCAGTCAAAGTCTCTTGCAACAATTTTTGTAGGAAGTTCGAAACAGAAAACTAGCAAGGTAGAATAACTTCTTGGGATTGATGGCAAGGAAATCGCGTGACAAAATGTTGTTTTTTGAAAGGTTGAGGCATACACTTTTGTATTAGGCAATCTATTTACTGCTGATGTTTAAAAAGTAGTCTACTGTCTATGTCAAATGTGCTTTATCTATGGTGAAAATTGCAAGATCAACACAGTTAGTATCCGAGACTGTAAAATGCCTGCCTGATTACGCATTTTCACAAAGAATTTACTCTGGTTAGATAGGTGCATAAAAAAACAGGGATAGTTTTGTGACTGAATAAAATGTAAACAAGCGAAATTTAAACTTTTTTATCATTTAGTTTTTGTTCAGCCGAACGTCTTTTAACTCGCAATTCGTTAAATAGTAGCTAATAGACGCATTGATACAGTAGAGATATTCAAAAAAGAGATAAGTCAGGTAATTGCGGCTGGACAGTGAGAAGTGGTCAGTTAGTTCGATGGGGTAATCACGAACACTTTCATGCAACTGATGCGTTTTAGCCTAATCAAATGTCATACAGACTTGTCAGCATGAAGGCACAAAAGTGTCATTGTCACCGCAGAATGCATAGAAGACTATCTTTCCTATTTCAGTAAAATTGGCCTCGTAATCTACCTAGAATTGCACGGGAGTCATGGAGTTCGAACTGATTTCGTCCGTCGGACGTTGGGGTAACGTTGTCTGTATTCAAATTCCTCCGTTACTCGCAAAAGAAGAAGAAGCATATTGGGTATCTTACGCTTCAGGTTGTCATTTTGTCTATGCGTCTTCAAAGAATGGAAAAATAAACAGACGGCTCTCATTATATGCCACCGTTTATCCCCTGGGTAACATGTCAATAGCGACTGTGGCACTGCATCGGTCCGAAAATAACTATAACTTATTTAACCCTGCTCTTGTTGGCCTCGGAGATTAATTGGCGATTGCGACCGTCCCACGCCGTGACTGTATCCTGTCGAGACGGTTCACGAAAAACCCGATAATGGGCATGCAAGTCAATGTGGCGATTTAATGCGCAGTCAGTCAGCATCCAGGCTACTATTGTTTGTGTTGAAGC